GCTGCGCACAGCAGGTACCTTTTGAGCAGCACCAGGCTCTTTGGTTTTAAAAGTATTTCGATCGTATTGGATAATGCGCCGGCGGTCACGGTCAACCGTTGGGCGATCGGAGTGTGCTTTTTTTGGGCCGACCTTTTCTAACCCGTCCTTCCTCGGGGGAAGGCAGCATCGCTGCTTCCATAAATGTGGACATGCTGGTCGCCTGGGAGAAACACCTTACTGCCTCTGCCTTACTCTGTCTGTCGCAGAGGACAGTACAACTTTACCCCCAGACCGTCTCGTAGCACGATTACTCGTAGTACGAGGTCTCGCTGCTCCCCTTTGGCCTTCCTGGCATGGTTGCACCTTGTGGAACGAAGTTCCAGCCAGTGTAGCCCGCGGGATCATTGCAGCACTGAAGCCCGACCACCACGTCAAGGTGGCAGCTTTAGATCGGGCTGCACATGCGATACGCCAGAAGCTTATGTGGTTCTAGAGGCCGGGCCTAATGTACACACGAAAAGCTTCAGGAGCGTTCTGTCATCCAATTGCCTGAAGTGACAGGATGTGAGATTCTTTTCCATCCATGGAAGTCTGCACAGTGCTCTGTTCAGTAGTCTTTTTCCTTCGCTAGCGCACACGTTGATGTACTTGGAACAAGCCCTGTTAAGTAATTTCAGATAGTTCTGTCGTGTTGAGTCCACATCCTCCTTAGTCCGAAGACTGGCATTATACACCCTCAAACTGAGAATCCTGAACGTGTCCAATAGATTCACCTTGAAATCTGTCACGTCATTTCCTCTCACAGTGGACGTCCTCCTGTTGTGTTCATTTACCAACCTTTGTACAGACCCCGAAGAATGTTTTGGGATGTAGCGAAATATCGAGAGAAGTGCTTGTCAGTAACTGAAATGACCATTGTCACACCTTCCCCCTGGGGACCGTATTGGATAATCAACACATTCTTCGTCCCCTTACTACCAAGACCGTTTCATATTCAAACACTCGTTTAAAAGTCAGACTCTTCCGTCATCGTACTGCTGCCCTCTGTAACTCCGCCCTCCCCCACATGGTCCGATACCTGATTGACAGAGTGAGGCCACCAACTAATCTAACACTGAGTTGTTCCACGGGAATTCCTCTTTTATGTCTTCACATGTTTCTCTAGCTCCGTTGTAATTCCGTAAACTAGGAATTCACCTGCGCGGCATAAAGCCTTTCTAACCTAAAATTATATATGCTTATAAGCTTATGTGCTCTCCTCATTGTGTCGGTTCGGTATTAAGCCTTCTACGTTTAAATCTATAGGCCTGCTCATCTTATGCTACTGGAAAATGGGAAAATTAAAACTGGGGCCAGGCGGAGTTACCACTTAATTCATAACAATTCCAGGCCTATGAGAATAAAGGGAATGGCGAAAACCAGATTTCAGCTTTGCGTAAAATGTCCACAAAAGCGAGACAATTGTTAACAAACAACTAACAATGGGATGCTGAAACGGAAGAGAATGTGGGAGCAGCGTACAACAATCCAGCATAGAGAAACAAGTTTGCCCGACAGAAAATAAAAGGGAAGACAGCGATCCACAACATACTCATGCAGCCTATTCTTAACCTGATGGGTTGAAGTTACAGCACAATAGATCAGTATGTTAGCTTCCCAGAAACAATGAGGCTGTATTGGATGTTCGAAAGTCTCGGTTCATAAACTTCCCGTGGGTTGTTTTGCCTCGCTTACGGTGGTAATGCGACTATAAGAATACGAATTTCAGGCCTGGGGTAACGAAACAGCTTTATGAAATAGTATATGGATGAACTGAAAACCCATTCAACTCTGGAAGAGTGAGTGCTTTGTTGCACAACAGTAAGCAAACTGGGCTGTTCTGAGCACCCATTAAATGACTTTTAGAGCAGTCACTGACTATCCTTTGTGCGACAAGCGGACACTTTAGGAGGGCTTGTACAATTCAGCTAAAAAAAGTCCGCCTACGGACACGGTAGAATTAGGGGGATCAAGACGCGGAGAGGAACGCTGAATATATGAGAGCGTAAACGCTATTGCACCATCCGACTAAGGGCGGTGTGCTCGAAATTGACGCCGGAAGTTTAATATGCACAAAGACACGCCTCTTGACCACTGGGCGAAAAATTTCGAGAGCAGAGAAGTTCCGTGTCTGTCTCCGGACGTTCCCGCCATGGTTCGTTCGAAATCAGCAGAGGATCGTTGGATGACAGCCTAAGTTTTGATGCGTATAGGCCATGTAAACTAACCTCTCTCCAACTGTCACGGTCCTGTGTACGGCACAAAACTGACAAAACTGAACAGAAATGGAGGAAATAAACCTTGGAAACTTTACTAGTTGTAGGAAAACATTCGGGCAGTGCGTTATGAACTTCAACGAGACCCATAGTACGGGAATAAAGGATAAAGATTATACCCGCGAACTCCAAAGGCACTCACCACTGGTCAGAATAAGTAGAACTGCCAATCGACCCACCGAGTCGAAGCCTCTTTTGAAATCGAGGAAAGGAGGGATTAGTGGTCGGTGATTTGCAAGATGCTGCCCAAGCACTCGGTGCACGGTGAAAATGAGGTGATTTTCCGACCATTGGATCCTTTCTGATTAGTTGAATATCACTTAGATACCAGTAGTCACGACTGGTGCACTGCTACTCACAGTGGAGATGAGGAGTAATCACAACAAATACTAAAATACTTGAAACTTATCGGTCCGCTTCACCGATACCATCTAGCCACACGTCTAGTCTTAACATATAAATTTAACTACAGATGCCGGCACAGTGCACAAGGGAAAAGGGTAACAACATACATACTCGATATGAATATTCCAAGTTTGTTCAAAACATCTAGAAACGTGCTAGAGACAGCCCTCTGTTCTGTTCTGGAGGGTCATTAATTGTTGGAAAAGTATCTTACGTTGAATGACGCAAACTAGTTTTGTGTTCACTTTTACCATATGGCAAAACACCACACGAATAGCGCTAAGTTTAATAAGGTTTCCGCATGCAAGGGAAAACAACAGCACCTAGGTGAACGAAACTTACACTCGAGCGACGTTCGAGAATATTTCCAGCGGGCACTCATCAGTGGGTAAGATTTTAATCATACTATCCAACCGGGCACCGTACGTTCGATTGATTTCGTCCCCAATAAGCGCAAGATTATGAGCAACAACCGCTTCCATGCTGCAAAATAATAGGAAGATAATCAAACAGTGGAGAAAGGTATGTGGAGTTGATGGCAACGTAAAACGAGGCAGTGGTGAATTGCTTTGATGAAAGTATATGCCAATACAATCTGCCGTGATATCCTGAGACATATAATCAAACAATCTGAATAGGAACTGACCGAAAGAAAGCGGTGACCGTCTATTTAGAGGGGTAGTGTGTGGCATCCCACATCAAGAAAGAAGGCACCAACGCCAAGATCAAGCATGAAAGTATCGCATAGACGTAAAGTGTACTTTTAGACGTTTCCACAGACATCGCTAGCTTGTTCGTATACCCATCTGACACCATTTAAAATTTAATCCATAGTGATTCAGGTTTGTGAGCCAAACCAAAGTGCCGCCTGGGACCCCATGTGGTGAGCCAGCTGTGAGATCCAAAGGGATAGAAGTAAAAGTCGTGAACAAATTATACACACTGAGGGAGTCAAGTTCAGTTTCAAGAATTACTTTGTCCTTGTGTTTTTTGTTTTGATCTAATCTGAGGTGAATTTGTGAAAGCACATGAAACGCAAACGAATAGCGGTTTATTAAACTGTTGGTACTTGGAGAATGATACGAACAAAGCCGGACATCGATTGAGCAATGCCTTGGAACCTGTGAAATAAGAAGGTGAATGCCGTTTTGGTGTACCGTAATTCTCCTTATATAGCAACCAAAAAGATGACGAATTGAAATATCAACAGCTGGATTTTCGATTGTCAGTATGGCAGATTTCTTAACCCCTTAATTATAAAAATATCAGCTGCGGGAACTTAACGGGGTCCACACAAGTAGACACAGTTTGAACCACAGTGATCCCAAGGCACTTTAAACTGAGCGGATGGAAAAACTACTCCCAGAGTTAACATTTTAACGGACTATAATCCGACTTGCGGGACACACTAGTCAAACCCCACTGAAGTTGGACAGGAAAATTGATCTAGTACATAGGCGATGTGGATGCTGTAGTGAATACAGAAGCAGACACGGCTGACGAGGACCAGCTGAGGGCAAGGAAATATTCTGTGAGGTGGATGCCATAACAGCATTCCTGTAATCAATCAAAAGTGGTACATCAGGGGATCAGATGACCTCTGTAACGTGCTCTGAGATTCTCCCGTGAAGAGTACGAGTCGGATGGACTGAAACAACCACAAAATAAGTACAGAACCTTAGGGAATCGAAGTCGCTAAAGGAAATCGTTCAGCTGCAGCACCCTTTCGGTGCTTAACTGGTGTGCCACCCGAAGGTTGCACAAGGGCTGGGATACTGCCAGGTTGGTTAAGCCTAGACGGGGGAAATCGAGAGGTCGGGTTTGAACCACGGACCTTCCGGTCAGTAAATTCGCGCCCTAACGACTTCGGCCATCTTGTCCCCTCCCCCAATCAACGTCGCTGAATCTAAGTGGATGAGGCTACTTGCCTGCCTGGTTCTGACCGGGGGATAGAGGCGAACTCCAAACCGAACGGATCTTCTTCAACCGGGATTACACGAGAGGAAGATGTGGACGGCTCCGTGTTGTTCGAGGCTTGCGCGGACGACGATGTGGAGGCAGTGGTCCCCGAAGTGCTCGTACTGATGGATGCTCTGGCGGACGCAGCAACTTCCATCCGATAGGACTCGGTTAGAAAGTTTCCGAATATGACTTCAGATGAGGCTGCGACAACGTCCGGGCTAGTTGGAGTCAGGTTTGCATTCACCTGATATGGAAGAAAATGTCGTTACTTCATATATAGGGTGAAAACCATAGATACATACTGGCTTCTAACGAAAATACATTGCGATGAAGAAATCGCATTAAAATATTGGATTGAGGATTGCACACCCAATGAAGTGTAGGACGCAATACGTTGGAAGCCATGAACCGCCAGAACTGCGTAAATCCAGCCACCCACAAGTTGCAAAGGAAGTTCAACACAGTACAGTTAGTAGAAACAAAAGGTTAGGTAAATATAAACTAACTTGGATAAGAGCCAACAAATACGGCGCTGTAATTTGTTCTTGAGATTAAAACGCGAAAAAGCCATCGCTTCCGTAAGTTAAGTTCCTTACGATCTACGAAAAGGTTTTCAGGATGGGGCTGCGATACCGACTGCAGTGGTCCAAAACATCGATGGGATTACAGAATTTCCATTGTACTTCGACCACGCAGTTGAGTAAGAAAAACTTAGACCCACCAGATAGATACTTAAACACCGAATAAAAAGAATATCGTCCCTCCACTGGCAAACTGCATTCATTTAAAAGCCGATTTAGTCTTAGCAGGAGACTCGATTGAATCCATCTGATCTCTTGTTTACTATGTTTTTCTAATGAGCCCCAGAAAGAATGAAACCGGTCATGGATTGTCTAGGAATTTACAGTAATCGTGTGAGTGTTGTGATCCTCAGTCTGGTACCGAAACTTCTGACTGAAGAGAAGTAACCACATAAGATAAGTCCTATTTGAAAAGTCATTACATGCTTTATCACATGAACTAAATACCTTCTTTTAGCTCGAAGGCAGAATCTAAGAACCGGTATTCGAATTCGTGGCAAACTGCAAAAATTCAAAGTTTCACAATAAGGTAAACTGTCAAGAAGCCCCCCCACCAAAAAAATAAAGCATATGTAGACCACTATCCATCTCTACAAAAATACAACAAAATGCTGCTCAGGTATGCGGAAATCGTATAAGAGCTTTTTGACTGACTTAGGTAGATTTACGATTTCCTATTCAGCTGCATGTGACTCGCCAGAATATTACTGATGAAGCAGGGAGCGGACTCACGGTCAGGTATAAAAGTGACGGATAGACTTCACTGTATTACGTATGCAGATTAAACAGTTCAAATGTTCTTGTTGCACTAGAGCCTTAGAAGTAAACCGATACCGATCTTTCGAAAAACACGACGTTACGACCCGCAAAATTACACTATATGGATTGGGTAAGGGAGTATTTGGTTCGTTCACTGAGCTGGGCAATATGATGGAAAGCATTTCATTACCAACAACTACCGACCTAACGCTACGCTCTCTATTAACTGATGATGTCATCTTGACAAGCAATGAAACCTTTGCAATCAAAATGCCCAGCTCAGTGAACAAACCAACGACCATCTAGGATACATGAGCCATCAACATTGTCCTCAATAGCAATGGAGTGTTTATATTTTCTCATTAGTGAGTGAGATATTTCCTTTCTTGATCTGTATTTCGTGGTCAACAATGGTAGAGTCCAGGAAAAAGGAAACCATCCTAACAGTTCCTCAATCAAATTCAACAGAAATATGCAGTGACAGCAGCTTTATGCTAGGAATATTTTCAACTCTACCGAAGTCGTACTGCACAAGCGTTTTACTTGTTTACGAGCCAGAAACTACTTGAGGCGCGATGCCATTAGTATCGCTGGATAAATTTGCCGAAATGGATAAGTGTGATTGGACTGTTTCCAAATCAAGCTAGTGGCAACCATCCGGTTCACGAAAGTAATACGAATAAACGAAATACACTCATGTGCAAACAAAGTTGGTTTTGCAAGAGACTCATCTGAAACCCAGCTAAATCTCTCGCTTGCGATGTTCCCAGCGGGACTCGGGGACTGCGCCTACCTGATGATCCCGAAAAAGGGCGAAACCAGTGGTGGACTGCCGAAGAATTTTCAGCAACCTTATGAGTAGTGTATTACGCCTATGACACGAATAAACCCTATACATAACCCCACTGAAACGCATGAACTGAACACCAACTAAAAGGAGTTAATAATACACCCTACACTGAGATTGAGTGTCGGTAACTTGTTCGTTACCGACATAGTTCGATGTCAGCCACATTGATTTATTGTCCCACCAACCGATTAAGCTCAATAAGTCCGGTTTCGACACATTCAAGATGAAGAAATCACAACCGCCGACGTATGGTTAATTCATGAGTGTCTGCTTATTCTATCGTGGCAATGACGTTAAGGCGATTTAAAAAGGAATCCAAGCACGCCTTACTCCGTCAGTTTAATTCGTCCCGGTAAACCAAACATGCTTGCAGCCATTCGATTATAAATTGGCTGTGGGCAACAAATATTGTTTGTGTAGACCCCATGCCGAACCAGGTAAGTGCTGTCTAATGCCAGCAGTATTTATGAAGTCTGATGCTATGCAGAGGGTTACCTAAACTCCAAACAGCCCAGAATGTTCGGTCCGAGATGCTCCATCCTAAGGAGCACTCATAGGTTTTCTGGGCACGTTGGGAATCGGAAAGCAAGTTCGCACAAAGGTGGGGTTCACTCTCGAGAGAATTGATCTTACCAGTGCGTGTATTACACAAGCTTTCAAAACGAGGACAAAGCGGCCCTGTCCTCCTCAGTGAGTGATTCCGTTCAGCATCTATAGTGACAGTCAGTCCGTGTATGGATAAGAATATGGTCAAACGTTGTTGTCAGATTCATTCCAGATTGTTCAACTGACCGTTTGATGTATCCACCTTCGAATGCTTGCTGGGCCACTTCCCTAACTTAATCTCTCCTCTTCTTCTCATTCTAAGGCTTTAAATATGATTAGGTAAACTCTGCGGTCTCAAGGCAGTGAAGCATCGGAGTCAATACTGATGTTGCTGTCTCTGGTGATGATGATGATGATGATGATGATGATGATGATGTGACATATCTCGGATACGACGACGAACGAAAGACAAACGATGAACATGCAGCGTAGGATGCCTGCCCCTTGGATTCATTTAGAACCAATACACACATAATGAAGCTGAAAGCCAAAGTTAAAAGTAGGTCCACAGCAATAAAACACAATGACGAACATTTTTCCTCAGATTAAAGGTTGTGCAGTTAAAACAATGGCCAACAGTAAGAATAAAAAACTGTGTGGTCTTTCAAATAATATAAGCAGCCAGCTAACCTACAAATTAAAAGTTCAAATCTTTGGACACTGAAACGTCTGCACGATCAGGACTTGCGTGCATCATGTGGCATGCACCACAGCATTGAATGATAAACAGACCTCACTGTTGTCCCAGAAATTACCACTGCCTAAATTTATGAAAGTTTCTGTTTCGCCATTTGGATTACAGGTTACTCCATGTTTCACTAGTGTTTATAATCTGATGGTATTGTATTAAATAGTCAAATAATCCTAAATGATTGTTCAGTTGGAACAACTTTTCGGTGCTGCTAGGATACCCACACGAAGGCTGAACTACTGCCAGGATGCCGAAGTCTAGACAGGAGCAGTCGACATGCCGGATTTGTGTTCGAACCAGGACCTCCCGATCAGTAGGTTCGCGCCTTAACCACTGAGGTATCTCGGACTTAGTGTATTCTATTAAATTATATAGCATGGCACTGCATTATATCACGTTTTATTTCATTGCTGTATCCACACTTCCTCTGAAAAACTGGAAATGACCCACCATAACCCTATAAACACTGGAAGTCTAATTCTACAGCAGTGCTGGAAGTGATTTCCTGTGAACGCTGTTGTACATATTGAAAAGATAACTATCAATAACCGGCCATCTGCGTGTTATGGATGAGTAGTACCAGTTATCAGGTCACTGCCTGTGGGCTTCAGCCGTCTACTTGTAAACATATAATATGATACTTATGGGTTACCGGTTGAGCATGTCGGTAACTTTTAAAGTTTCCCATCTTGTTCACTCTCTGACCTTATTGGTCCCGAGTTACACCTGATGCAGGCTGTTCAGCTGATTGCACAGGTGGCTAAACAGAAATCACAGAAATCGACATAACCCACTGTGCGCAGGCGTCCGCCGGCACAGTTTAATTTGATATATATATATACTTTCGACGGCTGTCAAAGAGCGTTCAGCAACCATACGATTAGTATGATGAATCAAATAGTTGTGCTTCTACCTTGCTATGATTCAGTGGAATACGTAGGGTGAATGATCAGTCAACTTGAGAAAACAAAAGAGCACGTTACTGTTTAGATTACCAAAGGAATCACCACGGCAACCAGATGTCGTACCGCCTCACACTTATCCCCAGGGTTCCGTATGAGCGGCCGAAATCGATCCGGAAGCGTAACTTGGCAACCAGCGAAGACCACAACCTAGGCCGTCTCAGCTCACCCATGGAATCCAGGTTTGTCACGAGAATCGCTTTATACGAAAGCTACGATTGCTCCAGTCACGTGGCACAAACCACCCGACAAACACCTATCAGCCAAATAACCTTTTATCCTATCGACAAGTTGTAATGGATAGATTGCCGTCAATTCATAACTTGGTTTTTACCGTTTTAACACCAACCAAACATTGCGTCATCCTCGGCTGCAGACTGGATTTCAATACTGATTCCGTTAAAACAATTAAACCGGGGAAAATTACTTGGTAGACTTTCATTCCGAAGTGTTTTAACATGCACAAGAAGTTTCAGACGTATTTGTTGTGTGTGGAAGCAAAACAGCGTATCAAAAAAGTAATAACAATACGATTAACTGCAGTCAACGCCGACAGTACACCTCAGAACCTAACTTGATGAAGCATATAAGATGTGTGTGCACCATTAGAAGATTTAGCGTCCTCTCAAAATAATATCTTTGAGGGCTGACAAACTTGGTTTACAGCAGTGAATAGTGGAATCTTTCGGCCACCATTTGTCGAGTTATTGTCTCATTTCCACCTGGTTATAAGACTATCCTCGTAAGTATAGAAACCAAACAGAATAATGTGAGACGAACGCAACAACACCAGGGTATTAGACATGTGGGTGTTCAACCAGTAAATAGGTTGCTAATGTGTCGAAGTATTGGTGGCTCGGGTGCATCTATTAGTTGCTGATGAGATGGCTGTTGACCTGTTTGCTGGGGTTGGTGACTATCCTGCAAACGTTTCGCTACCAAACGCGGAGACATCATCAATGCGCCCAACTGCGCACTGGTAGCGATAGCGAAAATGATCGTGACTACACGGAGGAAATAGCCCTGATGAAGGCCACCCTCGATGGCCGAGACGATGGCCAGTTGAATTTAATATACCCACTTCAGAGCCATCACCCCACTTTCACTACAAACAAGAACCCAAACTCCTTCGGACTCACTTCAGATAAATGTGTATTGACCTGAGAATATGATTCTGAAAACGATTCGTCCGTACACTTGGTGAAACGATGGAAATACTCTGACAGCCCCGTAACAAAAGCATTAAATGAGGTAGCTTCTCAAGAATGAAGGGTTGATCTGTGACTGTAAAACTAATGTTGAGTGTAAATTTAGCCGACCTATCGTCGATCAAATATGCTCGCACAGAAATGTGCGCGTTATGCTAAAGTCAACGTAACTGACGAACGGAAATGTGAAAACATCGATTGCTGTTGTTAGCTAATGGCGACAGAAGACATGGGTATACCATGGCTGTGTATGCGTGCATGTTTCCGAATCAAGCTGATGAGATCACCGAATTTGGAACCGACTCACCCCAAGCTGCGGTTGCGTTACTGGAAAGGAAAAGTCTAAGTCAACTCATAAAAGTAAAAAGGGCAGGCAATTCGGAGAAAGACGTTTGAGGGTCCTCGAATAATGTTCACCATGCTAATACACGGTGGTTCTTACGTATAAAACGTGGAAAAACTGGAAGCGTGTAGGTGGGTTTTTTCAGGTAAGCGAGCCATTAACACTTCAACGTAGCAAGAAATACACAACACTCTTCAGAGTGCACCCCATTTCGAACAGCAATCAGCTCTTCTCTCAGTAGCATTCCGGGTATTGCAGGAAAAAACACTAGTATCAACGGCACTCTGTTTAGGCCTAATTAAACCAAACCGAACTGAAATGAAACATCATTCTATATTGTCTTCAAATCTGTGAAACGAACTAAACACACACTCGTGGTGGCCAATAGACGAGATACTTATCACCCATGCTTGAACTGATGGCGCTCGAATTTTTCGCCTACCTCCGCAATTTTATCACCAATCAAGGTGATATCATCAGTGCATCGTTGTGCACCGAAGCGCATGAGTATGTTAGGGAATGTACTTTGACTGGCTTACGTAGCTACAACTAGGAGTTTTCTCGTATTTTTTATTCCAAACGCCCTCCTGCAAGCAACACGTGAATAAACCCCTGGTCGTTTTGGAACAAAAGACAACACAAAAGACACTACAAGATTTCCAATCAAACTCCCATAATCCTGCGGGGTTACTAATTTTTTTTGAAGATGAACCGCAGTTGAGGCCGACGCAGATGTATGGGTTGGGACAGTGCTAACACACAAAGCTATTGTCCCTAGCTTTCACACAGCGAAATTGCTCGAGTAGATACTGCTCAGGTGGCCTCATTGCTTCCATAACTTCTGGGTCAAATCAGTTTGAAAAATTGCAGAACAGGCCCCACACTATCCAACTATATCAACACTGCGCGAGAAGTTCGCTCCCCAGATTAGACGGGTAATTTTGATTGGGATGGGCGAACGAACAGTCAATTCACAGTTGAATTTGCGTGAATCCGTCGCGCCCCCTCCCTCAACAGCACTGAGAGGACCGACGTTTGTCCGTCTGTGCTTGACACGGAAACGGTCCGGACTCATTTTACTGACGACAAAAAGCTTCGGATTAACCAACATGACTGTGTTCGAATGAAACAACGAAAGCAAATGGTCAGAGAAAAGGCGAAACTCGTGGAAGTGATTGGCCCGTCGCACCTTCTTAGGGGTAAAAAAAGTGTAAAAAGCAGATAAAGTGCAACAGACCCTGTGGTAGCTTTGTGTAATATAAAAGGGCCATTACAAAAATGTAACATTAACACAATGGGCAGCCATCCGATTGGTACAAAACAGACGGATATAATTCCCAAAACAATTGAATCATAGCCTGTACAGCGCAGCTGAATCGTACCAAACTTTTTAATATCTGTTTAAGATCCAACATGTGCCCTACCGATGATCGCAAGGCAGACAGCTGACCTTTCATCATGCCGAGTAAGAATCATAGAGAAAAATTAATCCTAAGAAAAAGAGGTAGAAAAGTATACACAACCGAAGTGATGTTACCTGGACTAGCGAACAAATCCAGCATTTTCCACACATCAAAACAGTGGGATGCGATGAGATAATGATGGGGTGAGATGACAGATATCGCTGCTCTGAATACCTTAGTACGATAATTTGCTACTGGCGAACAATCCCCTATGAATGGAATGAGGTTCACATACACACGACTCCAAGACGGTACTGCGTTGCTAACGACGACAACTCCAAATCTTCGCTGGAGTGTCCATCGTCCTGATAGATGTTGTGTTGTGCAACAACAAAAGACGGAGCCGTGTGACCCACATATTGACAGTAACTCTAATAATAATAATAATAATAATAATAATAATAATAATAATAATAATAATAATAATAATAATAATAATAATAATAATAATAATAATAATAATAATAATAATAATAATAATAATAATAATAATAATAATAATAATAATAATAATAATAATAATAATAATAATAATAATAATAATAATAATAATAATAATAATAATAATAATAATAATAATAATAATAATAATAATAATAATAATAATAATAATAATAATAATAATAATAATAATAATAATAATAATAATAATAATAATAATAATAATAATAATAATAATAATAATAATAATAATAATAATAATAATAATAATAATAATAATAATAATAATAATAATAATAATAATAATAATAATAATAATAATAATAATAATAATAATAATAATAATAATAATAATAATAATAATAATAATAATAATAATAATAATAATAATAATAATAATAATAATAATAATAATAATAATAATAATAATAATAATAATAATAATGGTTCAGCTGTAACATCCTTTCGGTGCCTAGCTGTCATGCTACCCGAAGGAGGCACGATGGCTAGGCTACTGTCAGGTTGCCCAAGCCTATCCGGGGGAAGTCGAGGGACAGAGGTCGGGTTCGAACCACAGACCTCCCGGTTAGTAAATTCGCGCTCTAACCACCTGAGCCACCTCACCCCCGGTCCAGTTTAGTAATAAATTGAAATACAGAAGATTGGGAAAGTTAAATGAGGATTTCCGGGTACTGAAAGTTGAATATGAAAACAGGATTGAGACTATGAGGAATCGTTCCGGGAATTCTACCAATTACGTTAAGTCGGCAATAACTGACATCATCACTGACAGCAATAAACCAGTGATGAATACTGGTACCTAATCGCCACACAACAAGTGCTTCTATAGAGAGTAAGAGGAAAGGCAGAAGGCAGGGACTGAGTACAAACGATCGAGAATAACGCAACTGCATCTTGGAATGGCAATGGTGTCAACGGACCTGAACAAGGTCCGTGACAAGGCAAAATGTCACCAGTGTTCATAGAGCCCATCCAACACGAACTTGACATACAAGGGTAAAGGAAAGTTAGATATAGGCAGTCCGATTAGGCGGTGACAGTGTGCTCGTCACACCAACAACGTACAAGTAGAACCACAAAAAGGCCACAACCAAAACCCCAAAGCACACAGTTTGACAGCAGCTAGCTTCGTTTTGTGCTGGCGCATCATTACTCGTCCCCACAAACTGTTCACCAAAAAGAGTCCGGAGTACGAACCGGCCAGTAGATATGCGTGGTCCGTGGCCCAGCTGCCTTAATTTGATCAGTATTATTTGCTGCTCTAGTGCTGCCTTCAATTGGCTCACTAACTGATGGTGTCCTGCTTTGCGAATTAACTGAAAGCCTCAGCGTATTCCCTACTGCACCATACTCCTTCGTTTCATGGGCCTTCTGTTTCCGCCACGTCTTCCTACTCCTAAATAGGCTTTGTTGAGCTGACGCCTAACAGACCGTCCAGCTGAAGTACGCGTTGTGTGAAGTACTGAAAGTGACCGCTCTGAAATTAAGCTGGCACGCACGCGCTCATCAAACGCTGAGTCTCCACCATTGCACATAGCGGTTGCTCTCTTTTCCAAATTATATTAATTACTTATAAGGAGGCCGTTCCTTGAAGTTTTACGTAGTATGTCTGACTGCTTTATGGTTCGGGAATTTTTTTTCGGTTGCCTAGTTTTCTTCCTGGGTTTATTAGGAAAATTCAGTGAAAAAATATACACCGGAGGACGTGATTTGAATTCACAATGATCCGCAGTCGAGTACTGAGGCTTGTCATCAATGATCGCTCAAAAGTAGGAGAAAGCCACGTATCACACCTGTGTCATGTGGGCCTGAACGTATAGATTTGTGAGTATCCAAAGTCAAGAAAGCTATTCATCACTAAAATTACGCTCTGAGTCAAAGCTAAACATGCTATTAAGTAATACCTCGGAAGAACGGAGACAACCTACCAATGTGTTTGAGACCCCCCAGTGATAAGGAACTCTTCGTCGTGAGTGACTATGTCTTGATAATAGAGGACTTTACACAGAATCAAAAACTAAGTTCGCTTGGTGTATCAGCGGAAACTACAAACGAAGCACAGTGGTTGAAGAATCAACTGAAGTTCGCAGTGTTTGGTGAGCGACAGCGCCGTAACTTAATCCCTTGTATTAAAGTCGCCGAAACGTCTATCGATAAGGTATCGAAATTGACTGCAATAACACCCTGTCGGCCAGTTTGCTTGCACATTTGAAAATTGCAGGCGGAGAATGAAATGCTCCTGGGCAGTTCGCTCAGGGAACAAGAAAGTATCATTTATTTAGGTACTCCTTTCCGAACGCTTTATTTGTGACCTCATTTGCTCCTAGTTCGCATCCCAATCTGGTCGTTCTCACTCTGTGAATGCTGTCCAACACATTTTCACCATAAACTCTTATACACCCAATGCCTCCTGTCTATGATCTGAAGGTGGGTGGAATGTGGTTAACAACAGCCGGAAAAAGAGACTTGGTGACAGCGTTGCAAAAAGCAGTAACTTACCCTCACACGAATGTTGATCACCGGAGGAAGCGTTGTGGGGGAAGTTTGGTGTGCTGAATGTGGTACATTTGTAGAATCCCTACGAAGGCCGTCTCTGGCAGACTGATCACTCATGAGTTGATGGTCACTAGTCCGCGTCCTATCGATTTTATCTCGCCCATCTCCATCACCATATTCGATTTGGCGAAGAATATCAACCGGTGCACCGCCGGTCGCCGCAACGACTTGCGCAGGAGAACATCGGTCTAAATTTGGTAACATATTTGGCGCTTTCAAGTGGGGTGGTAGAGAGATTGCATAGTCCAATAACGAATCACCAGGAACAGAACATGTGGAACTCCGTAACTGATTGTTTTCAGACTTTGGTGCTTCATGTAGAGAGGAATTGGTGAATTCTCCGCTCGAAAGCGGTACAGCTGACACTAGGGGCTCCGGAGACAGCTTCTGGTTCTCTCGGTTTTCAACAGTCGCGGATACCCGTTTGAATGCTGAGTCAACTGATCCTAATAAAGGAAAGCTAATTGTATCATTGGGTGACACAGAGGATAGTTCATGGATGGCCGTATTTTTCATAGTGCTCGGAGAAATGAACACATTCGTTGTTGGTTGCCCAATCACGTGAGGTACCTCATGATGTTCAGTTGAAGAAGGCAGTGACAACGATCGCCGAGTGTCATCACTGCATAAGTGATTGACCATGTAGGGGCTGTTTGCAATGTATTCCGTACAGCTTTGGAAAGGCGCATCCTCTGTAGCTGTGCAGTTCAAAGAAAATTCGGACGGTAAGTCTCCTCTGCTTGAGCTCAAAGAATCATCATGCACTTTAGAGGCAACGGATTTGTAAGTAAGAGGCATATTAACTTCCAAAAAGTTCTCAGTTGGCGCTTCAGCTGGAAATTCAATATTCTGATTTGATGAGTGTGAAAGCGGTGTTTGATCGTGTGACACTGGGTCCTCATATTTCAACGATGAATCCACTGTTCCAACCGAAGGGAAAACAAAGGACCGCGAAATCGATTGTGTGGAAGGCTGATAGAAAATAAGATGATCACCAGTTCCGTTTGCAATTGAGTACGGGACGGTTTCTGGATGATTTGTGTCTTGATGTTCGACATAAGCACATTGATCGTGATCCACTTCATAATGACTAGCTGGGGCCTCCCATCCGGTGGGAGTGCACGCTGATTCGTTAGCTCGTTCTATGAAGGCCTGTTGACTGGAGGCAGAAGCACATCCTAAGTTCTCATGTACGAGACGATCCATTTGGGTTTCTAGCAGTGAATCGCCTGCGACTGATGATGACTGATGTGAACTGACGTGGAAAAAGGGAGACATTCCACGCATTTCCTTGTAAGGAGAGGAAGACGCTGTGCTTCTCTGCCCACTGGGCATAAGAGTGACGGCAGCCATCTGTGGTGGGGATGCATGCCGGATAAAATTCTCTGGCGTAAATTCGAAGGAGGTAGTCCTACGACTATTCTTTGGTTTCTTTTCAGAAGTTGACGGTACCTTTCTTGGTGATGTCTGCTGGTCTTCTCCGCAGTCGGAAGCTGAATCTGATGCCCCATTGGATTCATCCTGTAAAACAGAGAGACGGTAGGAAAAACACTAGAATGCCACTGAAGTAGAAACCATCAAACAGCCATATTCTAAAAAGCACAATTCAATGAAGACAAATGGTTGGAAGGATTTACTACTAAAGTATTTATTTCATCTAAAAGCGACTATCTTGTGAGACGTCATGAGTTGACTGTCCAATTCTTCACAGCATGTCATATTCTGGTTTGAGAGCGACGCCTGATTGTGCATTGCCTAGAAGTACCATCGATTGAAAGCAAGCGGGAATCTCATTAGTATTAGACCGTCCGAGTGAAATGGTTGAGCTGCTGTCTCGTTGCTGAAATTCCTTGAGATAAACGACAGACTACGACAATCGCTTACTAGTGCTGAACCACTTCATGACTTTCCTTGTGGCTTAGAATAGCAACCGAAAAACCGACCAAACCCTGGACTGACTTCAACTACGAAGGTTTTGTCAGACCCCTCACCAATAAGATAAACACTACATGCAGTGATGCGGAGTTTGAAGGCTTCTCCAAACATACTGTGGTATTTATACCCTCAACATGATAACAACAGCAGATCTAAATCCAAACTGGTTCATACCAGCATCCGACCAATACATCAAAAGTGTACCCTGAAGAATTATGCGAACAGATTGGTCAGTAGTGAAAAGAATGAAAATGTCGTGAAACTTAGGACAGAGAGGAGCAGGCCAAAATTAACAAAAAGTCCACTACATCCGAAGTTCAAATAATCACGCAACCCGAAAATGCATCGTTGGTGGAGAAAACAGATTATTTACGAGTCGAATGTTTTTTTACTGTCTTCAACTTATCGAAACCCATAGGACTTCTAACCAACAGGCTATCGCGGGCCTTATTTTAGCTATGAATGACTCGCTCTACCACCACTTCGTTAGAGGATAGGTGGACCTTTTTGAACGTGTCGGAACATTAATAGCGAAACACGACTAGCGTACGAACCCTAAGAAGTTTTACCTAATTTAGAGTATACCGATAACTCAAGCCTTAGCAAAGAGACCTTGTTCAGACTTTTATTCCGTGACCCATCCCACCTCTACAAGGTCCACTTTCATTACGCACTAAGGAAGCAAGGTTTATTCACAAGAAAAATCTTTGGGCAAATTGATAGTCACCATGATAGCTAACTCTGGTCGGTATTTCCGCGAGAAACTGGGCAGGTTCCCCATACAAAAACAACTGGAATTTCTTACTGTTTTTCCTACAGACGAACATGAAGGACATTTTTTTCCTTTTCCAACACGCCATTAAAGGAAATATCGACTGGCCAGAACAGGATGAAATAAGCATCATTCTCGGAGGCTTCGATCAGAAAAAACCCGAATGGTTTAATTTTCTATCGAGTGAGCTGCATGCCCACTCAGCCTAACCTGTATCATTTTCTATCCAGCGCGAGACAAGCGCCGAGTGACTCTTACCTTAGTCCGTAAAATAAGAGAGATCTGTACACTAGACGCCCTTGGATGAAGCAAATTCCCCAAAAAGCATGTGTTAACTTGGTTCGATCGGAAAACACCTAAGAGGCGGGAGCCACGGGTTTCAGCCCGCAGAAAGCCGGCTTTTCCGTAACTTCATACACCAGTGACAATGCTTCGACTTGCTGGATGAGGACGAATAACGTTGCATATATGCCCCGCCTAACAAACCAAGTAGCAGCCTTTACTTCATCTACTCAAACTAAATTCGGCAAACGCATTTTGCTGAGCAAGGTCTAGTTGCAAAGCATCCATCGTAACACAACTAACTGTCAAGCTAAGCTCTATTAGTAAAGGATACGGAAATGAAAATACGCGTATTCAATCGACCCCACAAGGTCTCGGCGATGATACTGTTAATGTTGGAAACAAATGCAATACGTTAGTGAACTGGTCACGTTTCCTTTATGTGGGCGACCAGCTAGCCCCATCCCTTCTGTTCATCCTTCGGTCTTAGTTCCTCAGTTTTACACTCAGTACAGGGCGTTTGGTTGGATGCACATGGAGCAGAATCTCTAGATGTCCATACCCCCCAAAAAACAGAAAAGTACGCACTAGAGAGAAATCTTTAGTTCATCTTACTTTGATGTGGAGACCTTTTAAGACTGATTGAGGGGCCTTTGGAGTACCGTATCGATAAATCTTATCATGCCGCAACAAGCTTTTGTGAATTGCAGTAATCTCAACTTCGAAAAGCTGAGCATACTCGATGGGGTAATTTCTAGATATTGTGGTATCCAGTACTTGTTATCACACAAGCTCTTCTCACCAACTTAACTGTGCTAAAATCCATAGATGCTGAAAAACGGAGGCAAACGGTCAAACTATTTATATTTACCATACCAGAGAACAAGAATACCGGAAAAACCTCATCAACAAAGAGTACTGTGACACACAGTAAGTGAAGCAGTCAAATCTACGACGCCTATGCAATCAACCGTTACAGTTTATTATTACCAAGCCGGTTGCTCAGTTGTGACTTCTTTTTTATAACCTCTAAATGCAGATCAACCCTGGATGCAATATTAATTGGCCACGTGACACAGACTAGTCAAAGGTATTTTGCACCCCGCGTGGCACAGAAATCCCAGGCAAACCGACGGGTATGCGTCCAATATCATTATTGGAGAGACCATGTGGCGAAATAGAAAGATGGCTTAGGATCATCGCATCATGAAGTTTTGTACTCCTCAGCTTGCAACACCGAAAACAGTACCTCATGGACTTTCTGCAGAGCACTTCTTTCAGGGTAAGCGCGACTACCTGTGGCTTTTAGGAGGACAAACCACGCTCGAAAAATCTAGGAAATGTAGTATTCATTATTGCTGTAGCAAAGGTGTCGCCATATGCCACGAGTGTACAAATTGTGGATGACCATTCCACGCAGAACTTTTTGGGCAGATCACAAAATCAACCACACAAGAGTAATTGTGAAACAGCTATATGTTCTGCTTTGGCACTCTGAGGGCATTCCATGAAGGCTGCACAATACTACAACGTTGAGGAAAACAAGTAAACCTGGGATGCGAGTTTTCAAAAGGACGCTTTCTCTAAAGAGTGGTTCTCTAAGCAGGCCTTGAAAGAACAAAACATTATAATGGCGTTTCCAATGTCATAGCGAGCGGTACTAGCAATTATTGACTTCGTGACCTCGGTATTTTGAGTTAGGCGCTCATTTACATTCTGATACTCAGAGCTGATATATACGTGTCAATGCGAATTTTCCAAAATCCGCCGTAACCGGACCGTTGCATTGACTTCGGGAACTATGAAGACGACGATTACACAGGTGTGTGCGATTCAATAGCGTGTATTCGTGCTTGTACAGTGAAAACGCTGGCAAATTTTGACACCAGGGAAGTGCTGGCTCACTAAAACACACAGCACTACAACTCACGCAAACATCCTTGTTTGAGATTTGGTCAGCATTGAACTACTCGCCCTCTTTGAAAAAAATTGAGAAAAATTACTGATTACTGTTGATAGACAAGAATGAGGACATGAATTCAGCTCCTCGCCCACAATACGTATCATCCGCCCAAAATAGCTGTGACAGGGACTCAAACAATAAAAATCCTCGTACTCTTTCAGAAAACACATCTGTTGTTTTGTCGACAGTTGTGTCTACGAACGGCATTGATTGTTGAAAAGACCAGGAACAGAGCGGAATTATCCATTTCTTGGAGGGACACGATGTCTTTGCTGAAAAAAACTTATGATAATCAGTATGACATGTGGTGATTGTGAGTTTGTTATTCCATAGATATCCAGTAACGTACACGTAATGGAGCTTACGTTTGGTGAATGAAGACCAACACTATGTAAGGGAAAGCCGGAAGAAAGATTCTATCACAACAGCAACAACAACACCAAGTTCATAGAAACGCAGGACGGATCACATTAAACTCACCAACACAACTGAGTTGTCACCGGCACTTGACTGAGACATTGGGTTGACAGAAATACCGGTCCAAGTATATCAATGATCCTGAAATAGAGTAGGTGACCTTGATTAGGACAGTCGAGCTTTGAACTTTTTGTTTCAACACACTTACAATACTTTCGTACCGGTGAGCTGTGATTAGAACGGTGGACCACACCCATGGCCATTACAAATTTTGCAAACACTGCGAAGGACCGAGCTCTGTCTCGATCCACGGTAGCATGGAAGTCGTGCCTCGATAACCGAGTGGTATGGTTAAATCGAACCAATGTACAGGTCAACGAACAGCAAAGTGACACATTATTCATACCGATCCGGTGACTTAATGGCCTCGGTAATATTCGGACGAGTGTAAAAATGGTGTATCTTGCGAAAGGGCCCAGGTAACTGAGGCAGCGAAGTGCAGGAGATGGAGAACAATCGCATTCCATTACATGGCCTTCTCCGGGAAGCTCTCAATTTTTAGAATATACGGACGATAGACAGACGTCCAGAGAAGTAGCTCAATGGTCCAACCTTGCAGTGAGACATGATTATGTCTCTGTACGGTACGGTCACCAAAACGTGAACCGTATGCAAGTGTATGTTGGTGAAATCGCCACAGCATTTTCCCGTCAATATGGTGACATGAGGAAGAGATGTGGTTTAGACCCGTAAAAGCGTAAGGATTAAGAAGGAAACCGTTTATTAAAGCTCATGAAAGCATGCTGGATATCACAGCGCCAATGGCTATAGGACCCCATCATATATGGCAAGATGGCTCAGTGGTTAGAGCGCGAATTTATTGATTGAAAGGTCCGTGGTTCGAACCCGAACTCTACTTCCCGCCTTTTCCTGTCTAAGCTCGGGCAACCTGGCAGTATCCAAGCCCTCGTGCTTTCATCTAGTGGCATGGCAATTAGGCACCGAGTGCTACAGCTGAACGATTCATATATGTCACGGCTGGCCATAAATGTGCCGCAAATCTGGTAACACAACTAATAAACGACTTTGATCAACATGACCCGTTGTTGTTAGTCAATCAAGTTATCTGGTAAAAACAATGTAACGATGGGGCGCTGGTTACAGCTGCTACAATTCCGTTCACCGGATAACGGCAGGGCAGAGGAGATGGAACAAATTACTGGACGCGATGGCACTATCAGTTAATTGTAACTTGGGAAGCTACGCATTGAAAGCAACAACTCTGATGCACGAGAGCCACTGACTGCGTGAATCGGCCACGTCTGTCGGTACCATTAACCACTGGTCAGCTGAAGCCGGGTGTCCTCAACCAGAAAGGCGGTGGTTGTCGACCCAACTGAGTTTACCAGTTAATGTGTTCATGTTTCGTTGCCAAGTCTACCACTCAGTCGCTTCCACTTAGCATAAGGCTGGGTAAAAAGAGCTCCAGGGGCGTCCGGAATACATATCCTAACCGGTGTAACCTGTGACGCGAAATTCATTTATTGTGGGAGAGATCCTCCTTCCTCAGCATACCTCAGAATTACTAATCCGATTTTTCCACAAAATTTTATCATTGATTTGGAGAAACGCACAGTCAAACAATGACAGTTTCACATGTGCTTGGCACGTAGAGAATGTGTTTCTGATCCACAAGGCAATATTGCTCGCACGTCGGCAGTATATATTCCAGCGTTGATAGATAAACTGACGTTACAGCGGGGCCATAGGTGTCGGAGGTTGGAAAAAGCTGTCTTGTCCTTCCCGATTCGAGAAGTCGTCCACTCTCTCGAGTTCACCAGAGCTAATGCAACTATCCAGATAAAAAAATTTGACCACAATATCGATTGGCTTGTCTGCAAACATGAGGTCTGGTTTGATCCAACCCAGTCTTGTAGCAGCACTTCACATTTTTCGGGTGTGAACTGCATGCCAAACCGTGGGGCAGACTATTTAAAATCGTCTGCATCCGGGAATGGTCTGAACCAAGGAAAGCAATATAGTCCGCATACTCAATGTCTGTGACCGGGGACATTTCGACCCCAGATGTTTCAGAATGAAGCAGAATAATTTCAAGCAGCACATTAATAACAAGGCTGAAGAGGAAATATGAGGGGGCAGCCTTGTCTTACACCACTGTATGTGGTGAACTCAGGCGAACGCTTGCGTCCCACAGGAGTTCGCATAGTGTCCTCATAAGGGATATAAATTTGGAAGGGACGTCTTTGATCGCCGGACACCGCTAAAGATCCTGACGATCGATAGAATCAAAATCAGGTTTCAGATCGAGAAAAACTACCAACGTTGGACGCTTGAAGGAATGGCTCTATTCAAGAACTCGTCCGGAGGTAAAGAAATGGACGATAGACGGCCAGGGCAAAACCCAGCTTGCTTCTCAAAAATCCATCTTTCTCGATAGTTGATCGACCTACGCAAAATAATGTGAGAGCACCTTGGATACAACGGATACCAGACTGATGCCATGGGGCTTTTCGCATGACGCTCTTGCGCACTTTGTGACGACTGAGATGACATTCGAGGACATTCATTCCACTGATATCCAGTTTTCGTCCCAAATCTTCTTGAATATGGTTGTCAGGCTGCTCAATAGGACTTCGCCGTCCACATGACTTTGCGTCTCCAATAACTTTCCAGCCAGATCAGCTCGATACTCTTGAGCTACTGAAACTCGTCGAAGTTGATTAATGGAACTGATCCGCTTTGGCACGCATACTGCGACCAGGAATTGGCACGATAACCGGATTCGCACAATGACGTGATCAGACTACAGTTACGTACCAAGAAGGAGCGACGATCTTTAATTGGGGCTCTCCATCAGTAACCGATAGTCCATGAATGTCTTGCAGTTGGCATGTTCCAAGTAACGCGATATGAGCGTTTGCCCTGGGAGTTCGTACTGACCAGAAGCAGATGATCAGCACTCTCTCCCACTTTTCGTAAACTGCGCATCACCTCCAAATTTGCCACCCATTTGTGCTTTTTCCGGGCCTGGTCGTCCAACTTGTGTGCTCATACCATCCGCCGAAAATACTATATTTGTACTTCTTGCTGACCGAAGGAGTCACGATAGATCTCGACAGAACCGTCCTTGTCAGTCTCAAAATAGCAGTTTGTCGGGCCTTATGCTCATACGACAAATAAACACTGCGCACCGCATAGACCTGCATCGATCCTACGGCAGTGAAGCATCGGTGTTGAACACTGATGTCATGCTGTCGATGATGATGATGATCTTAATTGACCCAACAGCCCAGCACGGAGACGACTGTTCACTCCAGTCCAGTCTATCAGCCTTGAAGATGAATCCGACTCCAACACCGTAGATACCATGAGCCATTACGCCAGGATCACCAGATACCAGAGGTGTGAACGTGGAACATTTGAGCTCGCCCTCAGCGGAATGAAGTGTACCTTATTCACCAGTATCATCGGCTGTAAAAACCGCGTATTGCTGTACAGTGGTCATAGCTGTCTCCGTTTCGTTCACCGATGGTTTGTGGAGATGAGGCATGTAGCTGTGCATTGGAGGAAGTAGCTGATATAATTGACGTGTAAACACGGGGTTGTCAGTGGACTTTTCATTGGGTTGACTGGGAGGGTAGTTGTGCATTGAAGGCAATGGCTTGGATGTACGAGCGCCATTGAGGGCACGACCGGGTTATGTATGACAATGGTTTTGACCATTGACGTGTCCCGTCTCGTGATCCACACCCAGCGAGACGGCAATGACCAGAGCAGCTGAGCTTTCTGGTAATGCCCTTCATACTTCGCTGTCAAGTCATTATTCGACTCCCCTGACTCGCTTCCACCCTTCCATGGCTGTGCGAAAAGAGCCTTTTGAGGAAGTCGGTCGACTGGCATACTAAGCACGTGATCAAGACAGCGCAACCTATGGAGTGTGATCAGTTCACTTACTGTGGGCGAGTTATTTCTTCCAAAAGTCATTCGACGTACTTCAGCATTAATGATCCGGAGGCGGGATGGCTCAAGTGATTAGAGCGCGAATTCAGTGACCGGAAGGTCCGTGATTCGAACCCGACCTCTGCCTCTCGACTTGTCCTGTCTACGCTTGGGCAACCTGACAGTATCCAAGCCCTTGTGCTCTTTTTGGGTGGCATAGCAGCTAGGCACCGAAAGGGTGGTGCAGCTGAATGATATTACTGATTCGGTGCTACTACCAGGCTGAGGCAATGCTCCGAAGACATCGATCGTCAAACACTGAAAGTCTTTTGACACCCTCAGCGCGCAGCGACCAGGTTTCTGGTCCACATAGTAATATGGAGGGCACCAGAGCATCGAAATCTCGACGCTTAGCGGATAAGTTGTCACGCCCAAATAAGTTGTAGCACCCTCTCTGTGCCTAACTGTCATGCCACCAGAAGGAAACACGACGGCTTGGATACAGCCAGGTTGGCCAAGTCTAACCAGGGGGAGTCAAGAGGCAGAAGTCGGATTCGAACCACGGACATTCCGGTCAGTAAATTCGCAATCTAAAAAAAGCGTTCAGCTGTAGCACCCTCCCGGTGCCTGGCTGCCATGCCACCCGAAGGAAGCACGAGGGCTGGGATACTGCCAGGTTGCCCAAGCCTAGACAGGGAAGTCGAGTGGCGGAGGTCGGATTCGAACCACGAACCTTCCGGTAAATTAATTCGCGCTCTAACCACTTGGGCCATCCGCCCTCTAACCACTGAGCCATCACGCATCCATTGGTGATGCAGGTTCACGAAAGCTGCTCTGTCCTTCCCAATCCGAATGGAAATAACATCCTTCGCGAGACCAGCGGGACGGATACAGCTGCCCGGGTAGACCGATTTGCCCACTGCCTCAGTCGTCTCATCTTCGAGCATGAGGCTGGGGTTCGAGCCCACGCGGGACGAAATGGCTCAAGTGGTTAGGGCGCGAATTTACTGACCGGAAGGTCCGTGGTTCGAATCCGACCTCCGCCTCTCGACTTTCCGTCTAGGTTTGGGCAACCTGGCAGTGTCCCAGCCCTCGTGCTTCTTTCGGGTGGCATGGTAGCTAGGCACCGGAAGTGTCACAGCTTATTGATT